AAAATAAAAATTAAAATTAAAAAAAAAAATAAAAATCAGAAAAAGTATATTTTATAAATTGATAAATTATTAATTAAATTGTATTTTGATAAATATAATTATTTATTTATAATTTATAATAAATGTTGAATTGACATAATCAATTTTAATATCATTAAAATTAATTAACACTAAATATAGAAAAAATCTATAGATTAATTAATGTTAAAATTTATATAAATAAAGATAATAATTTTATTATAAAAATCAGTTGAGACTTTTTACTAGATAGGAACTTAAAAACTCTTTATTTATTTTTTATTTTTAATATAAACAAAAATAAAAAAATACAAAAAGAATACAGCAAATTAAGAACTAAAATATGAAAAAGTTTATTAAAAAGAATTTTCTACACAAACAACTTGAAGATTCTTTCTTAATATCTAATGATAATAATAGTACTATTATTAGTTTTCAAGAGTTTTATAATATTGCTTTTCCTATTTCTCTTATAATTTATGCTGAGAAAATGAAATTTGAAAAGTCTATACATAATTTGGTTAAACAACTACAAATATAAGATGAAATAAAAGATATATATAGTATAATCAACTTTGCAAAAATAGTTTCTTCTTTTTCACCTATATCACAATCATTTTCCTTTTTTATTAAAGCAAAACAAAAATCTGATTTTTCTCTTAAATCACAAAAAATAAACAAAGACAAAAGTAATAAAATAACAATATATCAACAAATATTATCTCTACTTTCTCTTTTCTTCTAACTCTATTTTTCTTTTCTTCATATCTTTCTTCTTAAAAAATACTCAAAAAGGAAATTTTAGTAAACAAAATCCTATTATATATAATAATAAAAATAGAATGCTATCTGTATTGGATGATGCCTAAATAAGAAAATTATAATAAAGCTTCTTGTCAAACAATACTAAATTAGGAGATTTATAATAATATAGCCTCTTATAAGATGATGCTAAATTGGAAGATCCATAATAATACAATCCTATATCACATATGGGACTTTTGCAATAGAAAAGGGAAAAACAGTTAGAAAAAATAAAAATTGAGTTAATGTTAAATCTAAACATATTTTGAGCTAAAAATCATATTTGTCATATAAAAGTAAAATTGATTTTTTCTGACTGTTTTTCCCCTTTCTATTGCAAAGATCCCATATATTAAAATTATCACAAACAATATAAAAGGCCTATCATTTTATTAAGATATCACCAAGAACTTCAAAAAATCCATATTTATTTACAATAAAAATGAGTTTTATTAATTAATAGTATACCTAGATGATTAATTCCACCAGTTACATTTTTTTTTATTAAGCATTTTTAATGTAAGATTATGAATTATTCTTTTATTTGATTACAGTATGAAAAAAATTTAGACGTTCTTATTCTTATCCTTTTTTTTTTTTTAGAGATGAATTAAAGTATAGGAAGTCATTTTAAAATAAGAAGTTGGATTCTCAAGTTAAAATCTCATGTATTCTATGATTAATTAATAATACATTTTCTACGGCAAGTTTTTATAAGGTAAAGATGAAATATTATGACGCAAATAGCAAAATAACATATTTATAAAGACTTTATTATTTTCAATACCATTTTTGGATACTATCAAAAATGAAAAAATCATAGTGAAACTCTTCAAATAAAAGAGTTTGAACCGGTCTAAATCTTTTATCCAGTTAAAATATTCGTTAACCAGTTAATTAACCGGCTATAAGGAAATAACTACTTGATTTTGTTTTAATGCTCATTAAAATTTTTCAGATCCATATGCTTCGTGAAAATCGACATTTTTTGATTCAATGTTGCCATTTCTTTATTGTTACAAACAGAATCTCCTCAAATAGATATCGAGAACTTGTTGTTTTCATCTTTACATGTCGAATAAATTAGTTTTTCAGTACACTAAAATTTGATTATCTACGAAGTTTTCCTCACGTCCAAGGGCTTTTGGTAGATCCACGTCAGAATATCTAATTTTCCCTACTCCTTATCGAAGGTTACCAACGCAACGTTTCAAAGAATTGTTTATGCAAACTTCATTTGTACTAATTGTACTCAATTTAACGTTTTCGATTCGGACGCGCATTGCAGAATTTGTTAACGTCTCTTAGTAACATGGATCTTGATTGGGATTCTTTGAAAGTTACCACTTCAGACAAACACAAATTTATAAGCAAACTCTTGCAAATAGGTTGCATCTTTATGTACATTCAAAGCTAGAAATAATTCTATCACCATATAACAAAATATTTATTAATAAACTATGTGTCGATTATTACCATAAAGGTTTCATTGTTTTCCGTTTGTGTAAACCATATCGTTTTTTTTTTTTTACGATCTTTTATGATATGAACACTGGTATTTTCCAAGAATGTGTAGAAAGTAAGCATACTTATCGTATTGGTATCAAATTGGTATCTTGGTAAAGGTGAAGTACCTGACCATATTCGCATACCAAACCACGATGAATTAAAAGTCTGCGTAATTGATAGAGATTAGCTTCCATCTCGCGAAATTTTGTTGGAGTATCCTATCTACCTAAAATAATTGCGACACATATTATAAGATACCAACAAGGAATAATAAATTGTAACAAACTCTTACTGATCATGATTCCGTATGAACAGATATCTTTAACGAATATTTGACAATTCATCAGGACTTTCGCTCTGGCCTTCTTCATGTTTATCTCTGATGATATTTCAGCAACAATTAATATTTATCAGCTAAAATTGTTAATTTATTGTTTTCTTAGTTCAAAATACACAATACATTTTAAAGCATCGCTTCTTGGGTAAAACAAAAAAAAAAAAATTATATCTGCACTAGATTATATTTAAGTGAAAAAAGGTATGTATTTACCTATGTTCGATTTACTTTTAAAAAGAATTATTGTTATAAATAAACGTTTATATATATTTTTTATTTTTATTTTATAGATATTATTTTTGTTTTTTAATATTATTTTATTAATGTTCAATGATATCTCAATATCCATAAAGTCTCTACCTCTTAACATTAATGAAACATTTCTTTAGGCACAATATGAGTACGTTGATGTGTTCTTAAAGTGTCCAAACGACTAAACTTTTTGTTACACCCAGATTCTTCACAAACGTAAGGTTTCTCACCAGTATGTCCACGAACGTGTCTCTTTAAATCACCAGAACGCATAAATTTCTTACCACAACCCGCTTCTTTACAGATAAAGCGTTTTTCTCCAACGTGAATTAGTTGGTGGGAGCGAAGGTTGCTTTTCTTTGTGAATTTCTTATTACATCCAGGTTCATTACAAACAGCTTCCTTACTAATATGAGTACGTTTATGTGACTTTAACGTATCCATCCGTCCAAATCTCATAGCGCATCCTGGGTGATCACATTGATAAGGTCTTTCACCAGTATGCCCACGTTGATGTCTTTTTAAATCTCCGGAACGCATGAATCTTTTATCACAACCTTCCTCTGCACATGCAAATGGTCGATTTTCCGTATTTATAAATTGATGCATTTTTAATTCTTGTTCCTTTTTTGCGACTTCAGAAGCCAATTTTTCTTTTGCGATATGAACTCGTTGATGTGTTTTTAAAGTATCCATCCTTGCAAATTTTTTGTTGCAATCTTGATATTTACATTCGTAAGGGTTGTCTCCCGTATGGGAACGGTTGTGTCTTTTCAAATCTCCTGAATACATAAATTTTTTATTACATCCGTGTTCCTGACAAATGTAACGACGTTCTCCTGTGTGAGTACGTTGATGTTGTCGCAAGTTACCAGATTTACTAAAACTTTTATGGCAATAATTGCACGTGTAAGGCTTTTCACCGGTGTGAGTACGTTTATGTTCCTTCAAAGTATCTACCCGAGAAAATCCTCGTCCACACTCTTCACAAGAAAATGGTTTTACGCCAGTATGAATACGTTCATGTCTCTTTAAATCACCCGTTTGTGTGAATCTTCTTTTACAAGATGGTTCAGAGCAAACATGTAATTGATCTTTTTGAACACTTTCATATTTACGCTTGCGATTTGAATTATCCCCATCCTCATCATCATGAGAAGATTGTTCTGGTTGACCGCCTGTTCTATTTGTTGTGGGAGAGCATAATGATGCAATGTCTAATAGTGACTTTCTCATCAAGGATTTATCGGAAACAATAACTGTATTCGCGCTTTTTTCGACCGTTTTGTTACTAGTATGATAATCAATCTTGGTATTCGGACTAAAGGATTCTCCTACAATATGTAAAGTTGAATTTACTTCGTCGTGTTGAGATGATAATAATTCATCGTATTCACTCTCTTCGGAATCATCCATTACGTCATATGCGGAACTTTGCAGCATGTCTTGCTCCGTATCAGTTGATGTATCCGATTCGTACATATGTCCGGGAGATTGTGTTGTCCCAATTGATGAATCCGATTCATACATGAATTCACGAGGTTTTGGTGATATTTCTGTGATGGTACCTTCTGTGGATTCATTAGATTCACTATCCAAATCGCTAGAACTGATCAAACTTTCTTTTTTTTTTTTAAGAAAAAAAGCTAATTAGCATCGAATTATGCCCTTAAAGAAATGATTGGTTTAGATTTTTACCTGTTGACGAATAATCCAGTGTCGAATTACTTGGCGGTGATTCCTTATCCACTGAGAGCCCAAGGTTACATGTGAAAGAATTCATTGATTGGAAGGGCAATTAAAAAAAAAAAGTTTTACAATTTTCAAGTACAGGCGAGGATTAAAGATTAAGAATGAAAATTGGTGAGAATTTGAAAATGTCGATTAAAAATAATTTTTAAAAAAAATTTCAAAAAAAAAACCCATTTTATAATAGTAAAGTTTGATCGCCACGTGTGACTTTGCCGACTCAGCCTGTGGCCAACTAATTCCAACTTCGGTTATGCCAAATACGAGTCCCGAAAAATTATATAAAAAAAAGACACCTAATTAAAATTGGTTGAATTTGTCAAAAAGGCGGCTTAGCCGGCTAAAACTTTTTACATTTTAAGTTAGGCATTTCATTTGAAGCATGAATTCACTAGATTTGGAAAAATGATTACTTCTGGTGGTAAAAAAACACAGCCCATCAGAACTTAAGCCGACGCCCGCCTGCTTAGAAATTATTAGAAATATGGTGGTGAATTCTTGATAAGACAATGCGTAACAAGACGAATTCATACAAAAGAAGATGGATGATTCATTGGCGTATGTAAAAGGGGTTCCATGAAATTTCTGAAAAAAAAAAAAAAATAATAATAATTAAAAATAAAAACTGTATATTTATATCATTTATGCATAATCAACTAATTTAACTTTATTTTTTATTATTGATCGATCATTTTTTAATTTACCCTTTTTAGCATTAGAATGTTCTTGGATTTCTTGGATTAACTTTAAATAGCAATATGCGGTATATAAAAATCAAAAAATTTATTTAAGGGATTGGCTTCTCTCTTATTCAGTTTATTTATATTACACCATTTTTTTTCATATGAAACATGGCACAGAATAAAGAGTTTCTTTACCAACAAAATGAAAAAATCCTTTGTTATCACGGGCCCATGATTTACGAAGCAAAAGTACGTAATATATGGGAATAAAAAAAAATATATATATATATATTTTTCCCCCTTTGATACCAACCACACTACCGGATATTTTTATTCTCTTTTTAGATCTTGGATTCTGAATACTATGAAAATAAACATCCAAAATCCAATTTAACAGGTCCACATTATCTAATACATTACAAAGGATGGAAAAATACGTGAGATTATATATAATGAATGCTTTTTTTTTTTTTTTTTTTTTTTTTTTTTAATTAATTTTTTTTTCTTCATCTTACATAGATGGGATGAATGGGTTGCAGAATCTCGAGTTTTAAAATTTAATGAAACGAATTTAGCTAAACAAAAGCAAATTGAAGAACAATTAAATAAAAAGGGGAGGTCAACGATTAAAAAAACTGTTCAAGAAACTACAACTGAAAAAGGAAAGAAAAGACGGAGGGATACTTTATTAGATAAGGTGTGCGTCATTGACATTGAGGTGACGTAAACTTTGAAGGTGTAGATTAAACTCAATTTTTTTTAATCAAAAGGATGAAAGTATCAAGAAACCAAAGATTTGTATTCCTGTTCCTGATTCGCTTCGAGCGATATTGGTACAGGATTGGGAAAACGTTAATAAATCATCATTGGTAATTAATCCCTTTTAAAGTTTTCTTTTTTATGATGATCTAATGACGAATCGACTTTTGTTGATTTAGTTTGTACCTTTGCCACGTAAACCTACTGTGTCGGACATTATAGAACACTATAGAATATATCGAAATAAGACAAAGGGGGGTCAAGAAACGTGAGCATTTATTTGAATTAATTATATTTCTTGAAAGAAAAAATATATATTCATTCTTTGTTGTAGTGACGACGGAATTGCGGACGAGATAATTACTGGAGTGCTTTTTTACTTTAATAAATGTTTGGGATCACGTTTGTTGTATCAGTTGGAAAGGAAACAATATCGAGAAATGCGGTATAAATTTGAACGCTTACATAATTCTCAAATATATGGAGCGGAGCATCTGTTAAGATTGTTTGGTAATTATATTAAAATTAGGGATTGGGTTTAGTTGAATTCTGGAAGACAATTTATTCTGATGATTTTTGTTTATTTCATTTAGTATCCTTTCCACAGTTGATTTCAGGTATGAATCTCGCGGAAGATTCACTGGGCATCCTGAAAGAACACTTAACAGGTTTCCTAAAGTAAGTAGAACGTTTTATCTTTTATTTTACTCTGATTTAAGGACCGATTAAAATTATATTTTATCGCTTTGTACGTAGCTTTTTGAATGAAAATAGGAAAGAATATTTTGTTGATGAATATCAAAAGATCAAAGATTAACATCAAGATATTAGACCTTTCTTATATAAAGGTCGAGCTTTGTGTTCGGATGATTTGCTGATGCAGCTTCCGAGGGTAAACTTGATTAGACACAACAGGGTTCTTGGAAACCCTTATCTTTGGAAGAATTTCAAATAGATTACTAACCTTATTTAAATCATTATTATAATATTTAATGATTTATTTAAAAGGTTTTTTTTTTTTATTTAAATTATAAGAAGAAAATGTATATTATGTTAACATTACATACTTCATTTTTCTGAACAAAATAGAATTTAATTGATACAAAGGGAAAGATTTTTATTTACTATTGTTACTATTTTTTTTTGTCAATTATACAAAATTAATGTACAAATTCCTGACTTCCAAGAAAAATGTACACGATGAAATTATATATATATATATAGATAAATATATAAAATTTACAGGAAATGTAATCATTGCAACCTAACTATTATTATTAATGGTATTGAGTGTGTTGTTTGAAAATCTTTGAATATTTCGTTCATTCATCCTTTGAACAATCGTGAATAAACTACTTTGCCAATAATGATCAATCCTTACTCTGAAAAAGTAAGGAAATCTAGGATAACATAATGTTGCGATATATTCCAACACATTAAAATTTACTGATAATGCTAATTCATTCAAACATAAACTACTTGGATGCTTTCCATGTTTTAAATCATCCTTTATCTCGGATAATATTAATGCTATACTGTGATTTATGAACGAAAGGAAGAGGTGTTAATACAAATTTTATTCATTCATTCTTTTTTTTTTTAAAATATGAAAACTTTTTTTTTGCATCAAGGTACTTACGTTCCATCAATTGTTTGCCATTTGGCTTTACCAAAAGTATTTTGATCTTGCAAGATAATAACATCAGAAGCAGTACACCAATCGGAGAAGCTCTTCGTGAGCGCTTGGGCGTTCGAGGCATTAGAAGTGTAAGTATAAGAATCAGTAAACCAGAAACCAGTATTTTGTATCCAAGGTTGCCTTTCTTGCATATTAAAATACAATCTACCAAAGAAAACGACTAGACGAGTATTATTCATTATCATCTCACGTAACGTGGGCCATGGAGTCTCAGGGTCCGTCTTTGAAAACATCATCGAATGTCCCGTCTCGTTGATAAAATATTGTGACAACTTTGTTTGGATGTACGCACCAAGCTTTGCGGGATCCCCGTCCGTATCACCAAATTCTATCGTTATAACTTCATTAGGATTTTCGTTCATAAAATCTAGTATGGTTTGAAATATTGGATCCAATTCTGATCCTAACGCCCTTGTTAAATCATTCCCATGACAAAAAACGGCACGTTCTTCGTTCACCAGGCACGTATCAAAATCTAACAATCTTATCCCTGAATGATTTAAATTAGGAAATTAACACGGATTTCAAAAAAAAAAAAAAATCCCCCCTAATTTTCCTTTTTTTTCCATTCAAAGTAATTGTGAAAAAAACTCACCATCCCTAAGTTGCCTTGAAACAGGATAACCAGGATTATTTTCCCAAAAACAAGTGATGGCCCAACTGGGCACGTGAGTTTCACAAGCATCACCCCAAAGGTTGCATATTTTACCACTCTCAGTACATACAGCATTCCATACTGCACATAAACCATTGGAAGATTTACACACATTATCAAAACCACCACATATCCAATGTAACCATAAGGGATTCCATTGCTTGCACGTATTGGTTTGTGCATCACATTGCATACCATACGTTGCTACACATTGTGCAAATTGTTTGCTGCATGTACTTGCCGAATCCAAACAATTCCTGATGGTTTGATTACAATCAAATCGTAAATCATACGAGGCGCTATTATGCGTTCCAGGATAAGTCTAAATAACGGAATCAGTCAAACTTTTTTTTTTTTTTTTTTTTTTTATAGAATTAAAACCGTTTACTTGCTCACCACTTGATCGTATCTTAGGTTGCATAATCTTGCATCGCCGTTACATTTGAACTGGTCAGTTCCAGTTAAATTATTATTAACTATTGGAATTTTCGCTAATTCTGGTGCTTGTGCATCTCGTTTATAAATACGATGAATCCATTCATTATCGTGAGACGGATTTAATTGTAGGGAATTTACTTGTAACAGTAGTATTTGGAGTATTATTATTAGAAATAACATTAAAGTATATCGAGCTCGAGCCATTGCTTATTTTTTTTTTTTTTAAAAAAAAAAAAAAAAAAAAAAAAAATTCAAGAATGATTTTTTACGAATGGGCGACTCAAAAGATAAAAACGATTTTCGTTAAAATGAGGCAAAAAAAAATCCCCTATTTTTTGTTCATCAATGAAGATGCGATTTAAAAACAAAATGAATTTATCGGAAAGTATTACAGAATGAATCAAAAAATTGCAAGAAAATTTCTCATTGTACGTAATCGAATCGAATTAATAGTTACCTTTCGGATATTTAATTTTTGTAAAAAAAAATAGGGAAAAAGTTATGTAAAAAAAATATATATTTATATATTATTAAAAATAATTATATATTTTAAGCGATATCCGTAAGAAGGAGTTCGATTCAATTCCAAAATTAATTAACTATCTAAATACTAATTTTTTTTTTTTGATATATTTATAAGGAATTTCATTTTTAAAGATTACATTATAAATAATTTGTGTTTACAACGGACTTTCGTTTATTATTTGTTTTCTTATTTATTCAAGATTTTAACCTTGGTCAGAAATATGACACCGAACTAAGCCTTTTACGTGGATATTAGGGAGTAAAGTTAGGGAGAGTTATCAAAATTAATTCAGCTTTTTACGGTTTAGTCAATTTTCCGGATGGAATAAGCCAAACCCCCTTATACTTAGTTACCGCATGTTCTTGGCAGAGTCACTTCGCCCATGGCTTCGCAATTCGTCGTTTCGTAAAGATCCGAATATCTTATAAGAAAAAACTATATCATATGAATGATAGAGATTTTATTTCACTCCATCATTGTTAACTTTTAGAAAAATATTTTTATAATAATTTAAAGATTTGCCTTAAAAATATGTGTGACGTACTTATTATCTTCGCGTAACCTAATTGAAAATTTGTACCCTTTTAGGGATGGATCCACAAAAATTTTATCTCCTAAAAAAAAATGTGGACGCATAAGGGTAACGAATTTGTGAATTAAAAATGAGTACTCATAAGGATAACGAATTTGTAAAAAGAATATTTATTAAAAATGAGAAAGGACAGACCATTGTTGGTATACTTGAGCGTAAATCGCCAAATAAAAGTACGAAAGGTGCAAAGGTTGGAATTATTTGCCATGGAGCTCAAGGTATCTATCTATCTAGTAAAATCTTTGAAATGTTATCTTTAAAATTTGGTCGACACGCCGTAATGAATCATAGCACATAAAAATTTCAGTTTTCAACCGGAATTAGCAAAAGAATTACCATTCGATTCATATCGCTTTGATTTTCGAGGAAGTGGTGAAAGTGATTTTATTTCTATCGATTATGGTAATGCCAAGGTAAAATTTAAATAAAAAGACTTTTTTACGTGAATAACGTTTCTAGATTCATTAATGAAAACTTTGACATTTAACCAACCATTATGTTAGGATGAAATTGAAGATATTGATACAGTGGTAAAATATTTAGAAAATGAGTACGGATATCAATTATACGCCATCATAAGTCACTCCTTAGGTGTCGTATCTTTTTAATCCAGGTTTTTTTTACCTTGCCTTCTCGACTTATTTTTATTCTATTTTATTTAAAAAAAAAAAAAAAAAAAAAAATATTAAAAGCAATTCTTTCATTCGAATAGGAAATATTGCAACATATCAATATGCAACAAATTTAAATCGAAACATACCGCACCTAGTAGCAATATCAGCAAGATATTATTTTAATAGTTTATTAAAATTTTACCCAAAAGAGTATATGAAAAAATTTAAAAATGATGGTTTCAAGATTGATGAACATAAATTTGATGGTCAGATTAAGAGAATTATGACAACTTATGATAGTTTTTTGAACTTTATTTCTATCGATATGTCTTTTGGTGAGTGTTTTGAAGGAGAAAATGGAAGGGTGTTATTTTTTTATATTATAATAAACTAAACGTTTTTGTTTTTATAGTACATAATTTGCCGGAATCTACATCAGTATTGATAACTCATGGATCAGATGACGAAGTAAGATAAAAGTAAATTTTATTACCAGTAAGAAATACAGGTTCTGATTCTATACTGATCTATTGTGTATAGTTCACACCAACGGATGATGCAGCAACGTACAAAAACATAATTCCCAACAATACATTAAAAATCATCATGGGCGCAAATCACGCATATACAAATCACTCTAATGAATTAATTTCGTTAATAACAGAATATTTTTCAAATGAATTCCAATCTAAAAGATTTCTTGAAAGAAATAGATTTATGACTAGAATACCACGATATCTGGATGTTGATGGTGTGATGAACTTTAGAGATTTGGGTGGTTATCCTTGCAAAATTAATGGCGGGAGCTTGAAGCAGTGTTATGTTCGGAAAAGATATATTTTTAGAAGCGGAGAGTAAGAAAAATTTGTATTAATTTTGAATCGAAGACAATTTTTTATTTGTTCTAACCCTTTTTTTTTGATAGTTTAACTAGAATCACTGAAAAGGGAATCAATACTTTACGTTTGCTTAACTTACAAGATGTGTTTGATTTTCGATCAAATGTTGAAGTTCAAGCAATTGGTCTTGTGTAAGTATCTATGTGATTTATAAAAATATTTGATTTAAAAAATATAATTAATTTTAATGTAATATAGAGACATACCAGGAGTTAATAGAATACATGTTCCAGTTTTTAAGGCTGTTGACTCTCAAGAAGCGTTATTTGAGAAGCGGGCATTATATGATCAAGATTATGAAGGTCATTCCAAAGGTATGCTATATAATTCATATATTAAATAATTAACTTACAGTTGTATTAATTTCTAAATATATATAAATATATTTTTATAG